TCCGACGTTATGAATACCATGGTACTAATTATTCATGCTAACTCCATTTTGCGCGAATTTTGGAAACGTCAACTCGAAATGCAAAAATTTTTGTCACCACGAGGAATCGAACTAGGGACCCCTTTTCTGGTATTCAGAGGGCCGTTCAGGAAAAATGAACCATGCTTCTGTGGTCCCCATATGTGCCCCAATGTCATGCAAGAAACCATTTTGAAAAAGCTTGGCACACCCTGAACGACCTCCCTTGTTAGTCAGGATCTTAAACCCCTCCCTAAACCTTCTTATAATAGTCGGCATAGGGTAGTTTATGATGTACCTGGCACATTATGTTCTCCACAAGGTTGATGATGAACAGGAACACGGGGAAGGCGACTGCTAAGACGCCAAAAGGGCAGAAAAACCGCCATGTTCTCTGTAAAGGTTCAAACCCTCCAAAAATTCAACCCTTTGAGAAGTTATCCTCGCATAAGTTTCGAAATCACAATGCCGACCCCATCACATACTCATTGAAGTTGGCCCGAATCCAAAACTCGACCTTGACCTGAATCGATGTTCTGAGAGACAAGAAGATTCAGTTTGAACTTTTTCAGTGCCTCCTATTCGATAGCCTATCGACAAAGGTTAATCCCAAAACGTTCATGGGGTTCCCTTCTAGGTTTTCGATCGGAACGAGTAGAGAATCCTATGGAAAAACAAAACAGCTATGCACAAACGAATTGATCAATTACCGTATCCGCCAAGACGACTTATTCCGAACTAGGGGCGAGTAGCGTACACGAGTAGTTTTTAAAAGTAGAACTGGGTTTCTACGTGACAATCAAAAACACTTCAAAGGAATTTTCAGTTGCCCGAGATGGCAGCGTTGGACACACTCACTTTCACAAATGATTCAGGGACGTTAAAGTCTGACTACAATCGTTATTTTGAAACTCTGTCAAACTATTGTAGCACAGAGGGCAGAGATGGGTTGTGAAAAGTATGCAGGGTCAACCGTGCTTTGCGCACTTCTCAACAAAGGCGGTCTCATTTAAGTTTTTTTTTCGGTGACGGTATTAGGGGTCGGTGAAGGTCAAAAGGTGCATGTGGAAGAGGGGTCGTATTTTCGGAAAATGAAGCGGTCGTGTGTGTGATGGTTTCCTGAAAATTCTTGAATGAATTAGAAGCAGGAAAAATTGAGAGGTTTTCGT